AGTGAATAGTTTGCCATTGTTTGAATAAGCCACAGCCCTCTTCTGTCTTTACTTGTTGGTAGACATTTAGGGTATTTGCAGTTTTGGCTTTTATGAGTAAAGCTGCTTTGGACATTTGTGTCCAGTTCGTGTGGACATGTGTTTTATGTTTTCATTTCTCTTGGAGTAGAATTGTGTGTCATAGGGTTTTTATATGTTTAACTTTATAAAAAACTGCCAATTTTCCAAAGTGACTGCACAGTTTTGTACTTACACCAGCAGTGTGTGAGAGTTCCAATGATTCCATATCCTACTAACATTGGAGGTTGGCCAGTTGAACACTTTGGTTCAGATTTATTGAGCAGAAATTGTGCTATATGCAGACTTTTATGGCAATTAGAAAAGAGACTTGATACAGTGTTAAGAGTTTAGTAATGATAGCCAATTTATTGGTCTTTCCCTTTCCTTTCTAAAGGACAGTTAGAATGAGTATGATTTCATTAATATCACGGTCCTTTGAGTTTGGGTCTCCAAATTTAACTGAGAAAGGTCTAAAAATATTAGAAGAATTAGATGCCACAGGGAAAAATTAAGGAATTGAAAAGTTGTGTGTATGTGTGCGCACCTGTCTCTATGTGTGTCTGTCCGTGTGTCTGTATGTGTGTAAGAGAGCATGCATACTTGCTTCTCTGAGAAGAGATGTTAAGTATCTGAATAGATTCCAGTTTCCTGTATATTATCTCATTTGGGTTGTGAAAAGTAGGGGAAATGGCAAAGCTGTGAAATTACTAAGGAGGGAAGACAGGTAGTGGTGAGTAACAGCAACTGGATCAAGAAGCTTGTTTTTAATATCCAAACAACTTAGTTGCTGTTGGAATGATCTTGTTATGTAGGAATCAGCCTGTAAGCATTTATTTTTTTAGTATCTCTTTGGTGGTTACTATTTAATTGTATGTAATTAAAAGTTGTATCACAGCTGTTAGGTTGAATTTTAGAGCAGAATTTTTATAAGAAAATCTTGGTCAGTGTATTTCCCAAATAGACAAATTACGTGAAACAATTCACATTTTGCATATTTTTTTATTTAAAAAATAATTGTTTAAATTTGGATCCTTTTAATTTCATTTTTTCCCCTCTCCCACTCTTCTTGTAGACATTTCAACCTACGAATGAAGAGGGACACTTCCCTTTTCAGTGATGAATTTAAGGTGGAAACATCAAATAATGTACTTGATTATGATACCTCTCATATTTACACTGGACATATTTATGGTAAGTTGGACTGTAAAAGAACTCTTTTCTCTAACTTTTTTTCCTACACAAGGAAATATATGTATTTTGAAGTGTAGGCAAATATTTCAGAAAGATGGGACAAATCCTGAGGAGAATCAAGTATATCATGAAGAGTGAGGGTCTTTGAAGAACGAAGTAATTCTTGGGTCTTCCTTTACATATCTGTTTAATATGGAACTGTGCAGTGTCTGGGCTTCTGAAAGGTGTGCAGTTTTGACTCTCATTCCCTCCAAGCTGTTAGATTTTTAAAAATTTTTGAATGACTTATATAATTTTCTAATCTTTCAAGCAAGATGACTTAACTGTACTTTATAAGGAAAGAAGAAAACTCTGAAAGAAAATTGTAAAGATCATCTTGACTGCCAAAGATACTGTGTAAAAGTCATTCATAGGAAAATCGTCCCAGGGCCTTCCTGCCTCAGAATCTATTTGCTTTTTGTTCACAATTCTAACACGTTTCTCCTACTTCAACAGATAAAAAGGTATCAGGGCAGTAAGAGGCACACCTAACCTAGTAGAAAGTTACATTTGACAGCTTAGGTAGTGTGGAAAGAACAGAACAATTTGTGGAACTCATAAAAAAGCTAAAAAATCGAAGTGTTTTGGAGATATTATGGGCAAAATATCATTGCGTTATAACTCTGCATTGATAAATATTCCAGATGATCCTGATTAATTAAGACAAAGTTAACTGAAAGTTAAATTTTATTTCTACATATTACAGATATTTCTTCTCAGAATCCTAACATGAAAAATTAAGTGCTTCAGGAAATGTTATTTTTTAATTATGCTTGATAAATTAGGCATTTCTATACTTCAAATTACTTGTTTGCAGAGTAAGCCTCGTTAATAAATTAAAAGTTTGTTTGTGTCCTTATAATTCTGTAATGGAAAAGGAAAGTGCTTTTCCATAGGTCTAGATTTCTAATGTCAGACTATAGTTTTCTATTATTTTCTTACTCATTTATCTTGCTGGGAAGTAATTTAGTAGCCTCTGCCCCTCCTGCTCCTCTCTTTTTTTTGCTCGATGGTAGTCAAGAAGAGTACAAGACTCAGTGAATTTGCAGATAAAAATTATACCATTTAAAATACAAATGTCTTGGGCTCTTTGCTTCAGCCTGTGATTAATTTAAAGTCAACTAATACTAATTTATAAATTAGAAATTACAGAAAACCTGAGTTTTGTTTTAATGAGAAGATTTTAAAAGATAAATTAAACTTTTAAAGCCCACTTCTACTTCCCACCTCTTCATATCATTTGATATTTGGTGCTCAGATTTTCTTTGCGACTATATTAAAAACCAATCTACCTTTTTCCTTGTTATTTTCTTTCCTTAAAGAAATATAATTGATAGGACAATATTATGACTCTTTTCCCAGTATCTTAAAAAGGATTGTTCAGATTGCTTCTGAAATATTTGTACTCTTACTTAAAAATGTGTTTATAAAATCTAGAGGTGGTAAAGAAGCCAAAAGGCTCCTGCAGAATATATTAAGTGGGAAAGGCACTTTCTTTCTTTTTATTTTATTTTATTTTATTTTTTTAACATTTTTCTTATGGCAGTTAGAGCAAAAATTCAAAAAATACTTCAGTGTCTTTATTTTGGAAGTGTGTATTTTATTAGTGGATCTCCTTACTTTTTTCCAAGTTTAAGTTAATTTAATAGTCGTTTATTGAAAACTACTGCATACATGCCAGGCAGTGTATTAGGTGCTAGGAATGTGATTGTCAACAAAACAGATGTTTCATTTTTCATTGTAGTTACTAGTAATTGCATATATTTTAACTAAGTACTAGTTGTTGTTCACATCTCAAATTCACGTTGATATATTTCATGTGAAAATTAATTTCCCCAGTAAATTTGTGTTTAGGTTTTTTTCAGTGTATAAGCATGTTTTTTTTAAAGGAGAATGAATTTAACATTCATGTGAAAGTTAAACTTTTAAGAGTTTGTTGCTTTTCCTAATAGGTGAAGAAGGAAGTTTTAGCCATGGGTCTGTTATTGATGGAAGATTTGAAGGATTCATCCAGACTCGTGGTGGCACATTTTATGTTGAGCCAGCAGAGAGATATATTAAAGACCGAACTCTGCCATTTCACTCTGTCATTTATCATGAAGATGATATTAGTAAGTACTTAAGTTTTATGATGTAGCCCTTTGCGAAAAGGCATATAAATAGTTAAAACTATGTGGAGACAAATGAAACCTGAGCTATTTTCTTTCCTAAGCTGTTAATCAAGCTAGAAAACAGTTTCACAAGCAAAATCTCAATTGAGTGAATAATAGATCTGTATAATGAGCCAATATCACTGTCACTCTATGCCAGTACTACTTTGTTAATAGGATGTAATCAATTCTACTTGAACTATGAGACAACCAATTCTGATGGAATGGGAAATTCTATATTCTGATATCATCCGAATATTTAATGTTGTAATGTCTTTGTGTGTGTGGCCTACTGAGGTATCATCTTCTTATGTAAATTTCAGTGTAGATATTTGCATAGTATTTATGGAATATTTTAGGTAATTTTGTAATTTCTAAACCCTTTGAGTATTTCTTTTCGGAATCTCGAAATGACTTGACTTCAGCTTGACAATACTCCAGATTCATCATTATAGATTTTGTTCTTTATATGATGGTATTGTTGGGAGAATTCTTTTCCTGTGTTTTAAGAGTAAAAAAAGCTATTTAGATTTCACCTTTTAATTCTGCCATTGTCTATTTACCCATAGTCATCTAAACATGAGACTGCTTTAGTGAAATGACCCAGAAATATGTATGTCTAATTTATATGCCCCTCAAATACTCATGTTTTAATTTTGACGTTAAGAAGACTAATCTCTCAGTTTTTGCCTATTTTCCTTATTTGACAGCTTCCAGGCTTCATTTTCCTTTCTATAGTTAGAAATTTGTTGTCAGTAATTTCATTCTCAGTCCTAGTAATGTACTGGAAAGTCGTAACTTTTGACTTTTTGCTCCATCATTTCTGACAGTTTCTGTAAGTAAGTCTGTCCAACTGCTTGTCATCTCTGATGCTGTTACTGTAGAAAAATAGCATAATTATTCTAGGTGGGATTTGTTTATGATTTTAGCCACTTGCTAAATCATAAATTCATTAATGCTCCTGCCTGCATTTCCACTCACACCTCTTTGCTTCCTTCTCCAGCTTCCTCTCCTGGTGTTTCAGACTCTCCCCAAGCTCCAAGCTGAGTCTTCCTTCAAAAGTTAGAGTATGAGTTCCTGTGTCTTCCTTTCTTTCTGCCAACAGAGTTATCATCTACTTGATTTGTATGTTACTTTGTAATTCTCTTAGTAATTTAATTTAATCTTTTTGCAGGCTTACCTCTCCCCTATCAGGGTGTGTAAGTTCTACAACTGTAGTTTCTGTTTCTTTTGCTCCTTTAACATTCCAGATATCACTTATCTCTGGAACGGTTTCTTCATTGATACCTAGTAAAGTCTTGAAACATTTTCCTTATAATGTTTTCTCAAAATCAAATAAGACCTCTGGGAAAGAAAGAACAGAAAGGGAGTGATTGACAGATTTTCAGCTCATGTTTTCCTTCCCATCAAATTGTAATCAGGCATTTTCTTTTGCTTTATGCTTCCCATTAGTATCCTCTACGTGTTCTGCCTTTTATGATTTCTATTATTGTGTCTTCTCTCTCTTGTTTCATTTCTTCTCTCATCTCCTAGTATGGAGTTTAAGCATATTCTGCTCTTCTTTTCGTACTTTATTTCTTCCTCGTCATGATTGCATTTTCCCACTTTACATCTTATGGTAACTTTCAAATATCTCTCTTTATGTCAACCTTTCTTTTTCCCCGAAGTTGATGAGTTTGCTTGGAGGATGAATGACATTGGCTGCAACTTGGTTTTCTGTTCCTCTTGGCATTTAACTTTACCATTGATTTTAGCTCTTAACTTTCCTTGTCTAAGTATGTGTTCATGGTAAGGAGACTTTTTCATGTTCTATTTATTATATGCCAATTGTGGTATTAGAGCTTAAAAATAGTAATGTTCAGAGTGATTTTTATTTGTAACTTTCTACAGTTAAATGGAAATATAATGATACAAGGATGAGAGTATGGGAAGGAATTACCTTAAACAGAGGTTTTAATGCCTATAATTACCAGACAATAACTAGACAATTACTTTTGAAAAACGATCTGAAAATCGTCAGGTTAACCGTGGCTTATGAAAATAACCACGTGTTAACCTTTTATTTCTAAGTAGTTGCTATATTCTAGATTCTAGACCAAGAGTTGGCATATTTTTTCTGTAAAGGGCCAGGTAATGAATATTTTGGTTTTGTGGACCATATTTTTACTACTACAACTAAATTTGGCCATTGTGTTGCAAAAACAGCCTTGGAAAAGTGGATGAATGAATGAGCATGGCTATGTTCCAGTAAAACTTTAGTTATTGTCACTTCAGTTTCATATAAAATTTCATGTAATATTTACATGACACAAAATATTATTTTAATTTTTTCAACCATTTGAAAATATAGAAACCATCTTTAGCTTTCATACCTAACAAAAGGACTCATTTATCTGCAGGCTGTTGTTTGCCTACCCTGCTTCTAGAGAGTGGATAGATAAGTTTACGTTTTTGAAAAAAATTGAAATATAATTGATATACAGTATTATATTAGCTTCAGGTGTGTAATGTTAATTTAATGTTAAATACATTATGAAATCATTATCTAAGTCTAGTAACACCTGTCACCATTTAAAGTTATTACTGTATTTATTATGGACTATATTCCTTATGCTTTGTATTACCTCCTCATGACTTACTTATTTTACAACTGGAAATTTGTCCCTCTTAATCTTAACCTTTCATCCAATCCCTTACTCCCTTCCCTCTGGCAACCACCAGTTTGTTCTCTGTATCTGTAAGTCTGTTTCTGTTTTGTTTGTTCTTTAGTTTTGTTTTTTGAGATTTTACGTGTATGTGAAATCACATGCTGTTTGTCTAGGTTAAATTTACTTTTAATTGGCACTTTAACCTCTCCGTGTATAATACTTGAGGTTCTAATAGCAGCAGTAGTAGTGGTGGTGGTGGTGGTGGTGAAAGTAATTATTGCTATTTAATGTATACCTGGCACTATATAAAGTTCTTTGCTTGCATTATTTTGTTTAATCTTCATAGTAACCCTTTGAGGTATATAGGTGCACATGTTATCCCCACTTTGTAGATGAGGAAACTAGCAGAAAACTTAACATCATTTGATTGTGGATCTCATGTACTTAACCTTGTGCTTTTCTGCTTCATACCTGGAAGAAAGCTGTAAATTCTCACTGTCATTATTCCAAGAATTTCTGGTTCTTTTCTGGAATTTGTAAGCCTACCAAAAATCACACATTTGCATCTATTGCTTTTTGAGTCAAATTTTTCCTTAACATATTATCAATGGATGTTTTATTTCACAACTAATTAAAAGGAGAGGATGTTCCCTTAATATATATTATTATTTTCATATAATTTGCTTAAATGCCAGTAATTTATTTTTACAATTGAAATACTGCTTGATTGTTTAGATCAATTGTGTATATACTTGAGTGAATTTGGTGTCCGTATATATGTTATTTTCAGCAGAAGCAAATGACAGGGGAGGCACACCAACTCGGCTAGCAGTTCTGATAAGAATTTGGCTACCTTCTTATTAATACGTTTTTGCAGCTCTAGGTGTGAATATATGAAACCACCGTGGAAAGTGATACTACTATTCTGGAGGACCTTAGGGAGTGGCTTCTGAGACTGTACCAGAACACAGAGATAGTTTTAAATATTTAATAACTATATGCTTTGATACCCAGTTAGATGTGAAGGTGATAACTACATGTAGTTATTAGCTTAAAATTCACACTTGTTCAATTCTGTACTTAGGTGGTAAAAAGCACCGTCTCCTAGGACAGAGAAGTGTGAACAGTTATGACAGGGTAAGGATACTATTTAGTCCTCTGCCCCTTAGTCCAGTTTATTTTAAAGAAACCGGGAAAAAAATTGTCCCATAAATTATACTGTTAATCTTACTAACGTGAACAGCTTTTAGGAATGACTGTATGATTGCTTGGAATTGTTAGTTGTAAATAGTGTACTGTTGTACCGTTTTGTGTACTGCCTTTGAGAGGCACAGTTCTAAGTAGTTTTTCCATGCTGTACTTATAAGGAAATACTTCATCTCTGAATTAAAAGATACTTTAAGTAAATCTATGAAACTGCAGAGTATGAGTGTTTAGGTTTATTTTTTCACCTCGTATTTATTTATTTTCCTTTGTGTGGTGTAGGAAAGCCCCGAGAGCTTGACCTTGCCTGTGTCTCCCAGTAGTAGGACTCTCCTGCCTTCAGCCTGTGCGCTAGCTGTAACCATACTTAACCACTTTTTTCTCATGCTTCAGGGGGAAGGCGCCTTACTTCTTGTTGTAAAAATTGAGACTATTAAACTTTACTTAACTATTTCAAGGTGAAGCCCTCATTTATGTGGAGGCCTCTTCATTTGTGAAACTTCAGGATATTGCTTTTAATAAACCTTAAAAGAATCAATTAGTTTGATACTGTGTTTTTGAAGTTGTGGGCATAATGTGTTTTGTTACAGTCACTAAGACTTCTCACTCTTTTTGTGTCACTATTAGTGGGAAGGAGGGACAAAGGACAGAAGGAAAAGAGGGAAGGAAGAATTGAATTGAAAAGTGTTAACAATGACTAGCATTGTTCAAATCCGATTGATAATATTCTTCCAGAAGTAACAGGAAGTTCTGAGGACGGTCTCAAAAAGTTTCTGGCCATGCTTAAGATACAGTCTGGAGCTTGGAAATATGCTTATGCATATCAAGTTGCGACATACTGTGGTGGACACTTGGAAAGATTGAGGAATGGAGTGTTCTGATTTATAATTCAATAGTAGGATTATCTACCTGATTTAACACTGTGACTGGAAGTGCCCATGACTTTAGAATTCCCACAGTATCCACAAGTTTATTGGTTAATCTCTTTACTATATATTTTAATTCACATGCTTTACTAAGTATTGATGTTAAATACTTAATTTTCTTAAATGTAGTGACAATATTCGAAAAAAATATGAAAACTTAGAGACATTGTTAATTGTTTTTGCT